AGATTTGTCTTGCTATGGCCCCTCAATTGCTGGAATTAACAACTCCATTTATCATCAAACTGTGATTTCTGGGTTATCTTTATATGGAAAGCTGCATATGAATGAGCAGTTTAGGAAAGGAGTTGTGGACAGTTCAGCTTGCCAGCAGAAGCCAAACTACAACTGGCTGAAGACCAAAACATGCAGCTTAAAAAAAAGTTAACGACTTTTCCTGCCAAAGCTTACCCCACCTGTGTTTGCAAGCCAATACCCTAAATTTTTAACTCCATCTTGAATGCAGGTGTTAGGGCATACAGAAGGAACATGCCTGCTCCTCTAAGGGCATACGGTCAAAGGAGCCATAAACAAGAACATAGAGACAAACCTGACTGACAAGGGAGGGAGTGATAAAAACAAACCTGGCCAGTCACACTAACTGCTAAGCATATGTTTGTTTTCAGTTGAGAAGATAAGGAAAGAGAAGGAGACAAACAGAGAATTACAAAACTTGACCAATTAGCAGTAACAAAGACAACCAGAAACAAACCTGGCCAGTCACACTGATTGACAGGCTATCGAGAAACTGCTGGCAAAGTGGGATTTTGCAACTAAATAAGGATGCAAACCTGAGGGTCCAGGTTGTTTGGAGGGATCAGTGGAACTATGCCGATTGATGAGGCAATGTGCCTGGGGAACGGGGAGCAGAGAGGAACAAAGAGTGGGGGCAGACAGAAAAAAATATAAAAGGAACCAGTCACATGTGAAATGAGGCTGGTCAGTACAGTTGTTTAGCCTGATGACCACAGCCCATCCTATCTTCTTGTATTTTCCAATTTCCTATGTTCTTAACTACCTCCCTGCATAACCTCATTCTCTATCCCATGTGTATGGCCAGGACTAAGTGCCAGCTACTGCCGAGAGCTGTATAATTGTGAAAGGATTTGGTGCCAGCTGCTAGAGTCAGACTGGGTGTGTGGTGTCAGCTACTGGAGCAAGTGGGGGTGTCAGCTGCCACCCACTGAAGTTGGAATGGTGTACCCCCAAAAACCAGCTCCAGAAGAGGACCAGCGTGAGTGAGGGGCTCAGCGCTGGCATCTGGAGCAGGACTGTGGGTCACAGCCCACGTGCCTGGTGCTAATTGCTGGTGGAGGGGATGAATACATCTGCATCTTCCCTAGCCCTAGTATGGATAGGGTGGGCACACGTATTTGCTAGCAAACTCCAAGCTGGACTTGACAGCAAGTAAAAAGCCCTGCATCTGGGCAGGAAGGAGTATCAAGCAGGCAAGGGTTAAGTGGTGGTATACGCAGGGGCACTTGCAAATATGGAGTCTGTAGGACAAGCATGTGAGTGCACATATGTTTGCTACTGAACAAACTGCACTAGCCAGCACATAGGAGACCTGTGAAGCACATAAGAAGGCCTGGGATCCAGGCAGAGGTACCAGAAGGGCCAAAGGCACCGTGCCAGTAGATGTTTTATGCAAGTCCTATATGCAGATACCCCTTGTTCATGGCAGTCTGTGTAACCAGCCATGTCAGTGTCCTTTGTGTGTGTGTCTCTGGGACACGTGCTCAGCTTTTCTACTGGTTGAACCTGCAAGTGGGAAAGTGGCAGCTGTGTCTCTCAGCCTAGGCAGAAACACTGACTTTCCACGCTGGACTCCAGTGGCTGGTCAGGAAGGAGTCTTAGGACAGAGCTGCTGGAGGAGATGGCTGCTCCCAACATCCCTTAACACAAAGCAGCACAGAAGACAGAAATTAACTTTGTCATCATGAAAGAAAAGAAGGTGATCGAGTAGAACAGTTGTCAAGGTTTGCATTCAGGAAATTTTCCCTAGGCAGTTTTTACACCTCAGCCTGAAGTCTGCTTAGGTAACTCATCCCCTCTAGCTTTTCCTCCCCTACATGCCTCCTTCCACAATGCCAAAAAAGTCCACATGAAACTAAACAAAAATCACTATGAAAAATGTTAATAGCGTGGGATTCACGTATCACAATTTTAGTCATCTGCCACACAAATAACCACATCTCAGCAAGCTATTCTGTGCCCATTTTACAATCAGTGAGGGGCAGAATTGCAACCAACTGCTTTTAGGACCCTTGCTTTAATGTGTATGATACCATAGCCTTCACTGACTGCAAAATGAATGCAATGTGACCAGTATAGATGCAAACATCCTATCCTTACTGTTCAGAACCACCACACACAGTTGAATGATGGAGCGTAAGCTTTTGTTCTTATTACTTGGAAGAGAAGCCCTTATCATCAAATATTTCATAGCGAACAGCACTATGCAACAGAAAGTCTACATAAAAGTATACATTTACCTGTATTCATTTGTGTAGTCAAAATCTTGTTTGTTATGAGTTGGTTTTAGGAAGTTGCATTCAATAATCCCAACTACACCAACTCCCATGTTATTTGCCTGTAAAAAATTAAGATCTATCAGGAAAAAAAATATATTCTATGCTAAGACTGCAAGGGTTTGTCAGAGGTAGTTATAAGCTATATATGCACTAAGTAAAAACAAATTTTCTGGTTTACAACTCCTATCTCAACACAAACTTCCTAAATAAAAAAACCCTCTGTTCCACCCCTCTTTTTCTCCTGAAATGTATTCTCAGGCCAATATTTTGTGTATCAAGCTTAGTTTCAAAAACATTAAAATAACTGCATAGAACTTAATACAATTTTTAACTGCTGCACAACCAAAAAAGGTGGTTTTATAGAAGATACATCAATATTCTAGTTTTTATCATGTTATTTTAAAATCAGCATTAGAGTGAAAATTATTACTAGAAATGTTAAAATATTTTTGAGCTTTAATTTCTTACCTTTAACTGACAGCCAACTCTTTCATAAGCTTTGATGAGTCTGTTTTTATGGTACATCATTATTCCGTAATGATCTTTGTTTCTACAGTTAAATCCAAAAGTAATTCTTACTGTTTTAGCCTTTTATCAGATTATTAAGGAAAAATCTGGTTAATCTCATGTAACACAAAATTACAGTTACTCTGAGTGCTCTTCCTAAATGGCAACTTTTTCTGTATTGAGATAATTCTTTCAGTATGTCTAACAAAATAAATTAAAAAATCACAAGGATAACTGCAACATTCCCAGCAAGATACAGACACACAATTACATCACGTCATTAAATTCAGTGGGCAATGTTGTAAATATAAGCAAAGGATACATTCAAAAATTTTGGCCTATATATATCGCGTTCAATGAAGGCAAGGCTTTTGGAAACAAGCTGTGTTTTCACTTTTTGTCCTCGCAGAATGATCTGCATTGTTGGCTTCAGATACAAAATACTGCAATAAGCCTACAAAACATACAGCAAGTCCTGTCATTAGAAAAAACCCCAAAACCTCAAAATATAAACAGTTTACAATATAAATTTAGAAAGACAAACTCAGATTTTAATTAAAATCTTATGAAATGTGGTTTTTTTCCCCTCTTACTTGAATCCATGAAAAACAGGAAATGCAAGTGTGCATAATAAGCATACATGTATCACAAATTAAATGAATAGCAACTGAAGGGTACCTTTTATGAATATGCCATTCAGGTTATTCAGGTTAATCAGGTGTCTGAAGATGCAGTTTTACCACTAAAAGAGCTTTTAAACACACACACAAGCCTCTTCTCTTAGCCTCTATTGAGAGCTTAAAATAACAAAAGAGCTTTTAAAATAACAAAAGCAAGTGTGTTAACTTTTTTCTAAATGACTGCACATTATTATAGCTTGATAATAGCTATGCAATCTTCTTTTAAATGTGTCAATTATGAATTTTAATTTGCATTTCATTTACCATTATATTTACAACTTATAATAATTGAAGTGGATTTAGGACTTCAGTGAGTCTTAGAATAATTGAAGGTTTTAGTTCAACTGGAATAATACTTCTGAATACTATCAACAAGTGCCCAGAGCACCCAGTAATTCCAGATGTCTTTTTTTACAAAAAGAAGCCTTCAAAGCTCATGAATCAGTAGCGACGACAACGGCCTTATCAATTAGCCTGCAGACACGGCCAAGACTTTTCTGTGTGCATGTATTCAAACAACAAGGCTGCTCCCCAAACCCTTGACCTCTTTGTGAAGTCTAGAAATGATCCACTGCCAACCAAAACCTATCTGCTTTAAAAGGTCTACATGGGCATCGCATCTGTACTATAGGCACGTCTACCTGCAGTAAAAAGGAATGTTTGCTCTGCTGACAGCCGCACACATCCCTATTTAATTTCTGAAGCTACTGACTGCATTTCCTTCTTACTCCTTAGTTGATAGTGACAGCTACATTTAATGGCTAAAGTTATTTGCAAGACTACATCAACCCCAGTAATTTTCCTCTAGATAAACAGCAAATGCATACACAAGTTCACAAATACATTTCATCTTCAATTTTCAAAATTAATATTGACACATTGCCTTAACATTTAAATTGACATTCATCCTTCCCCCCAGTCAAAACTTCTGTAGTATAATACATTATATTAAAAAAACCAAAAACATACACCCTCCAGCTTCCAAAATAAACAAATACATTTCTTAAAATGTTATACGTACTCGCAGTGAGTAGTCACTTTCTGGAACAATTTGGTCCAGTCTCTCTTGTTTTTTATATCCTCTTCTGCCTGTTTCATCTAAGTCTTCAGGAATTCTGATGTCATATTTATCCTTATCAAAGTCAAACTCTGTCTTTTCATTTTTATCTCTAAGAAATAAAAAAGCCAACACAAGATAAGATATTGCGGTGGACCCCGATGGTATCACAAAGATACAAGAGAAAGGGAATTCCTTTGAGCCATAGTGGTTTTCCTCACAGATTTGCTAAAATTCACACCAACAAAATTCAGTAGGTCCTTTCTTGGATATATTCTTGTATCCAAGGAATACAAGAGAAGTGACAGCAAGGGAAAAGACATTCACAAATTCTAACTTCATTCTAAACAGGTCACACTTCAAAAATAGAAGTAGTCAGTATCAGCTTTAAGTATCAGCTTTTTTTTTCTGGATGGACCAAGACACACATTCCTTCTTAATGCAAAACTTCTCAACACTGTAAATTGCCTTCCTAAGATTTTTACTGCTGCAAAAAAAAAAAAGACACCCATCACAACTTTCCAACTCAATAATTATCACAATTTCTTACTGCATCACCTACCAGGTGTATACGTGATACTTAGTTGCAGATGTACACACTGCAGTTGCACAACATTGAGATCTATCATAGTTGGTACAAATATTAAGAAAAATAAAGTCTTAATACTGAGACAGCTCTGGTTTTTTGTAAAGCAGATTAAATTACAATGTATTGGAAACAACATGAATCGCCCCTCAAAGTGTTCTTTCCCGCAGCTTCCCACAAATACACTCCAAAATTCAGAACATGAAAGTTATCCTGTCCAGTCAACTGATTTCACTGTATTTTATTTTGCTCAAGCAGTGAAGTGATGCACATTCTTAAAAATGTTTGTACCTAAAAATAAATTAAAGTCTACCTGAAGTGTAAAGGAGGGGAAGCTTTTCTTATGGAGTAGGTGGCAAGGGGAAAGAACCAGAATTAGTAATGCACTTTTTACCTCCAGCTTTCTTGTATTCACATCTTTTAGGCTAAGAGTAGCTCAGGCTCTAATACTTGCAAGAAATGAATGAAATAAAAAAAAAAAACACCAAACTTTCACCTGCTATAACTGACAGAGACCTTTTTTGTCCTGCAGCGTTTAATCTATACCCATTCAGGTGTCATTTCCTGCCCTCCCCTCTACCCTTTTTCTGATGGGCAACAATAAAGATAAGAAAATGAAAAGCAAGCGGTTTCTTGCCAAGTCTACAGGACTGTGGAACAGTTCAAAAATGCTTCCCATGGTTACCTTGTTATTTCAGGTATTTAAAACTGCGGTAAGCTGAACACTTAAGAATGTGGTACAAGGCAACGCCTTCCCAACCGATTAGTGCCATCACTGTTGAAGGTATGCTAAAGGTTTTCTGGACAGACCACCAGGCAGGCTCCCTGCTAATAAGGCAGCAGCAACCATGCAAGATGTGAAGGAAAGAGAAAAAAAGATGGGAAGTGATGCCACCCATCTGCCAATGCTACAGCAGCAGCTGTTTAAAAAAAACAACAAACCAAACCAAAACAACAAAAGCAACAAGCACATCAGAGCTAGAAAAGGTTGGAAATCTTATACTGCCACGAGCAATGCCACAGAGGCAAGTAGAAAATAAGATACAAGTAAATAAATACATTGTGTGTATTTCCATTTATTTTATGGTAAACAGTTATGAAGTTTAGAAAGGTCTAGATCCCTCTAGAAGGATACTGCTGACTCCAAACTTAAAAAGCCAGTAATGCTTGCCTGTACATACAAATATTTTTTGTTTGAATTTTTGCATTCACAATTCCATAGGTCTGAAATGACAGTTTTATAATTTATTTCAATTTTCCTTCTGACAAAACCAACAGTATCTTATAAAAGAAAAATAAGTAGTCTTTTACATTCTCCTTCCTTCTGCTTCGTGACTTGAGATTTTAGCAAGAGTTCTCATGCAACATTATAGTCCTTCAACCAGTTTCCTCAGTTACAGCTAATTGCCCACAGTCTTTTGGAATTATTTTACAAAAAACCCCTTGTATGTTCACGTACACTGAAAGATAACATCAACTAAATGAGAGATACAAGACACTGGACTTCATCTTACCTTCTAAGATTCCAAATGATAATTCTTGTTCCCTTTTTCCCTATTATAGCATCTAGCTCTGCCAGTAACTTCTCCTCAGTAGAAAATAAAGAATGTGTTAAGATGGCCTTCAGGCTGTTTTTGGATTCTGCTGGATCACTTATCTGTCGTAAGCACTATGTTAAGGAGAGTAACTCCGAATGAAGTAAGCTTTCAGAAGATGAAGAAACTTGTGCAACAGTACCCTGTACTCACTTCACTGCTTCTCGTTCCAGATCTCAAACCAACTATAAATTTAAAGGCTTTAACAAATTACAGCCTTCCTTGCATCTTACAGTTTATTTAGGGTATCCATAAGACCAGATAGGGAGATTTCCTTTACTGACATTATCATCCAAATTTTGCATGTACACACAACTTTTCAGTCAGTAACTGCTGAAAGGATATGTTGGTTGTTGAACGTCACTATAGGAACCATGACATGTTCTGCTTTTGTGACTTCAAGGAAAGTCTGAGATAGCAGGCCCACACTCATGGTTTCCCCATTTTTGGTGAAGACTATTGCATCTTTTCCCAGGCGCATGGACCCCGATTTAAACCCATTTCCATACAGTCCCACAGGAACACGGCCATTCATCACAGATTTCTCACTGAAGCCAAAACTGAAACAAAGGAAAACATTAGGAGAGTGTAAAAAGCTCTATAAAACTTGAAAACCCAAGAGATGCATGCAAGACTTATCAAATTAAACGTGAGTTAATACCTTGTTTTAGAGATCAGTGACTACTGTACAATTAGAACATGTACTGTTAAGCAAATGCTGAAAGCTACCTGTGCAAGATTGCTAAAAACCACACTGCAACAATTCAGGGAAATTTATTTAACTTTTAAGTATAGAAAAGAATATAATCTGTCTGGAATTATGCAATAAACATTCTTACAGGATCACAGAATTCTATGGATTAGGATTAATCCTAATTAGAATTTGAATTCTAATAGTTATCCTGTGGCTTCACAATAAATACTAAGAAAAGTCCCTAAAGCCCTTTTTTTTTTTTTGCACCTCCACTTGCTTGAAAGTGCGTGATCTACAATTTATCCATTAGCAACTGCACATTACATTTAAAAGTATAACAGGTAGCAGTATACAGAACACAGAATTTAGCAAGGAACATTATTGTATCTAACGGAAAAAAAAGTAAAAACAAAAAACCAAAACAAAACAGTTGAATTCAAGTTTGCTCAAGTTTAAATCCAGAGATTTATCTGCAGGCACAGGAATCTTTCACACTAGAAGAGCAACTGAACAGCAACCTCTTTGCTAACTGTAGAAATAAGAAGATGCAGAAAGATAATTTCAAACCCTATAAAATATTTAAAGATAAACAGACAAAACACATCAATATAATTATCACTGCCTTAAGTTTTCGCCAATGCCTTATATTTTCAATGCTCCAAAGGACTTGAACCAAATATGCCTTTCTCTCTTGCTTGCGAACTTAAACTAAAGCAATCTTGAATTAAAAAAATAAATAATAAATTCTCCTTATCTCCACTAAAGGGCACTACAGAGAGTTTACATAGCACAACTGCTCCATGGAAAGTTAAACAGGAAGGTTGACAGAAAGGATAAAAGGAAATTATGAGTTAAAAATACACTGACAAAGTTGCCTGAAAGCTTTACTAGCATCTGTCTATTCTAGAGTCTCACTTGGATAACCGCTCACCTTCAGAAATGCTAAGTTTATGAACAAAATCAGCTGATTACATATGAGAAGAAGGAATAAGCTGAGTAATAACAGAATCAGAAGCTTGAATTTTTACAAGAAAAAAAATTGCAGAAGAGGTTATCCACCTTAGCATCTTGTGCAGCTTCTCCGAGTTCATACCATTTCCATTATCAGTAAATGTCAAGCATATATTGTCATTTATCACCGTTTTGTCTATCCATATTTGCTTAGCACTGACATCTGGATCATAAGCATTATCTGAAGAGAAAGAAAGCAAACAAGAGTGGAATATTAAAAAGCAAAAACTAAACAGTTTAATTGTAAACATATTTTAAAGTGCTTACTTCCAGTGAAGATGTCAGATAACTGTTCCAAAGTTACTTAAATTCATATGCAGGATGCAACAGAGCTTTATCTATCAGGGGTACATATATAATCAATCTGACAAATGTTAGTCTTGCAACACTGACAAACAGCTATATGGAGTAGCTGTCCCTAACTTTATTACAGTGCTACGTTTGCTTGAACATGGCAGCTTAATGTAGTTCCCTAATCATGGCCCTATAACCCTGCAGTCACATGCTAAACTAATGGAGCTCTAAAATGGGAACCATTTTTCAGCTCTGCAGTGTGGTAACATAGCTGTAGAAATTTTGTGCTGGCACAGATACAAATTTCCCATCTAAGTCACTGAATATTAGTCATCTTTTGCACAGGAGCAAGAATCCATAGTTTTTAATAAAGTAAATGTTATGCTAAAACCTAAGTCTCCTAAACCACTTTCGTCTTTATAGGTAATAACACTAAATCAAAGTATCACAAGGAAACAGCTGCATCAAAACCTGGCAAACCTTCCCTGAAAGCAACATATAATTTTCCAGCTATTACAGATGACAGTAATATATATAGGCCAAAAATTAGGTGGCGATGCGCCGTTCAAATGCAAGAACAGAAAACGAAACCACGACAAGTTTCTTCTTTCATTTCCTGTCTCCCAAGCAGCTGCTGCAATATTAACTTTCTCCAAGACATTCAAACATCTCTTCTGACTGGCTCGCAGGAGGGTAGGTAATGGTCTGCAATACAGACCATGGCACATCACTAATATACATAGCTGCAACATCTTACCTGCTATGGCCTGCAGGCTTTTTAATGGGGAAAACAGATTTGAAATACAATTATAGATAATGAAATTTGTGACAATAAAAAAAAAAACCAAGCAAAAAAACCCTGAAGCTCAAGTCCCTGCATGAAGATAGTTCTGTGAAATCTAGACTTTTGACTCCACAAGTGCAGGAGATTTAGGTGAATAAAATTATTGCTGCTCTGCTACCACATCACTTCATATTCACAGAGCTGAATGTCACAGACATGTATTTTGTTAGTGCAAGTTGTTCAAATTTAAGAAGGTATGACTTTCACAAAAGGTAATTACAAAAATGCTTCAAACTAAACTTTATTCCTACAGGATTTGAAAGAGCTTGCAGCATTGCTACCGCAAGTGAAATGGAAACCACGGCTCCATAACATTAACTGGCAGCAAGGCCAGTTTAAATCTCATCTGCCCTAACACCACTGTCTTGCATGGCTTTTCCCCCCTTCCCCAGCATTGCCCTATTAATGGAATTTGTGAGGGGGGGAAAGCACATGGAGGAGGAGCGGTGGGATGTGACAGTACAACAGAAGGCAGTGCCCCTGCCTCACTGTCTGTTTTTCAGGTTCAGCTGAGGGCCATAAATAAACCACTCGAGCCAACACTGAAGCCTACAAAAAGGAATCACAGCTTGGTAATTTGCTTGCTATAAGCATAAAGTATAAATTGCATCTACAGTGAAAAAGTTCATAAAATATATTTCAGCATCAACAAAAGAGGACATTTCAAGTACAACTGAAAGTTTGCAAGTGTTCTTCTAAGACCACAGTTTGTACAAGTCTTCTGATTTGCTAGCTCACCAACCCTCTCTAGATGCCCCATTTACCAAGCAAGCATCACCATTATTTCACCTAAATTTAATCTGACTGAGGACTAATGGGACAAGCCAGCAGTATAACAAGCAAAGAGTTCACAGGAGCAACTAGACCTTATAAAGCAAATTTTAGCATGCAGACCATTAGTGGTTTAGGTACGTTTATATAAACTAAAATTCAGGCCTCCATAATATAACCCTATTTATATTATTTCATATTTGGCATATGGTATAGCCTCACATAGCACATGAAAGACAGATTACAAAATGTACTTCAATCAACATGACTAACTAGAAGCCTTTACAACCAATATCCCACTACTATGCTTTTGAAGCTTTGTTAAAGCAGCACATGACAGACCAGAGGCAGAGGAAGAACACAAATTTGCATGTCTTGCACAGCACATCTACGATCATTCCAGCCAGGTATGGTACAGGCCAATAAAACAGCTGAAATGACTTAATATATTGTTACCCTCAAAACAGCCAGCCCTTCTCACAGCCACGTGGTTCTGGTTTCCTTCTTTGTGACAGCTCTGGCCTTATCTAGCTGAAAAATTCCTACTTTCTTTTTTTAGGTTAGTTTTCTGGATTAGCAACAGCAAAACTTACACACAGGAAAGAGAAGGAATGTGTGACCAGAAGAGTTGCTCTTTTGGCAGCATCAAACCGCTAGATAAGCTTGGCAAGTCTTTCCAAACCACATCTTTATTTTGAAGAATGAGTTAAAGAAAGTCTGCTAATCATTCCCTAACTTGAGGAAACACTGAAGATACCCAGTTAACAGCTATTCAGAATCAAAGGCAAGACGATCAACAGGAGCTAATAAATTAAACAGATACACAAGCCGTAGCTAACAGCAGATGACAGAAACAAAAGCAAACAGCAGAACTCTTAGGACACTGATGGATGGACCATTGAAAGGAACCACTCAGCTACAACCCTGAAGATGTTCAACGTGAAACTTGGTAACCCAAAAGAAAATTAGGATGGTTGACGGGTACTGTGCAAAAATTACTATCAGATGTTTTGAGGAAGCATCAAAGAAAAGAGCAAGGTCAAAGTGGATGGGGTGGGGAATTACACAGGCTAATTGCATGCAAGCTGGTTCCTGGTCAGTATGCTTGTATGACTGGACCCTGTGCTGTTGTACATTTCCACTAAACACTATTTCCAATGACTTCCTCTGTGTGTGCACTCTCTGTTCTCAGTGTGTGTCTGTACGCATTTGTTCTGGTAGCAAAATTCAAGCCAGGCAAGCCAACAAGTTGGAAGAAACTAGCAAACACTGAGATAGAGGGTCTAAGCCAGAAACTGGTAAAAAGCCCAGGACACGGATACTGAAAGGACTCCCGGGTCTTGGCAAAACACCCAGAAACGCAGGCAAGCATGAATAAGTGAGTAAGAGTACACATACATGCCATTTATGAACTTTAAACCTAGTTAGCCAGGAAGCAGGAACAGGATAAGGCCATTTGTGCTGTTCACGTTTTGAGCATTGGTTGTGTTTATGTGGGTTCTTGCAAAGTTACTGTCTGTGGCTGTACATGATGCAACTGTGCAAGGTGTGTGTTTGTGTTAAGAAAGAAAAAAAGTAAATCCGACTGCACCAAAAGAAAAAGATACTGTAATATTGTGAATAATAACAACAGGATAAACTCCCACCCTTACATTAAGGAAAAGCTTTACAACAAGAAAAAAGCATTACAACGAAGTACTTGGTCAAACTATTGATTCACATACCTATAAGTTCTGCAATTGCGCTGAAAGGCCAGGTGTGACTGGTAGAGTTGGTATGCAAGAACTTTGGACAAAGCTGAAATAAACCAAAAACAATGGCATTAGTTTGTGCTCTTCAATTATACCAAGCCAGAATAACAGTATGTTAAATATTTAAAGCAACATCAAATGAAGCTGTTTTGTGCAATACTACCAAAAGGCTGCAATTTAATTTTCTTTTAGACACTGGCATACTAACACCTTTTAAACGGAAGATTAGTACAGCTATTAAAGGCAAAAGAGCAATACAGAATCCAGCACAGTATCATACTATATTGTGAGCACGTTATATCGTCATCCTATCAAACTCTCTTTATCTTTATAAAAACACAAGGAACTACTGCTATATACTGATGCTAGAGGTTATGGAAAACATCAAAGCTTTAGTCCAAATCTAAGTGGATCTGCTCTCAAGTGTTGAAAATGTGTATCTTAAACAACGAGTATTAAACTTAATCTGAAAAGTGAGCAGCATGTAATACACTCAGTGGCTTCCTGTTGGATGTAGTTGCTCCTTTTGCCCATATGGATCAGAATCGCCTGTCAGATTCGCTCAAGCGGTTTGTGCTTTTTGCAATTTGATCTTACACTTCATCCTCATTTATGATAAGATGTAACCTGAGGAACATAGCCACTACTAGGATTAGATGAGAATATGCAAATAAAATACCTGTTTATGGGATAAATCTTACGGATGTCAGTGACAAAAGTATTCTCAAGTAGTTTATGAGAGCCTGGGTTCGCATTTTACATATTCACCTAGATCAAAAGACTAGGTAAACCAGAACCAAATATCCATAAAAGTTAAAGATTCATCAATACAATGTTTGGAGAAATTTAACTGCTGAAACTAATGCAGTTGCACTTGTATTTCCACTGAGAATATCTGTAGTTATGCTTCTACAAGGCCTTTAACACAAATCCACTGCGCATATATGCTTAAGCCCCATTGGCATAATTATGTTGACGGCACAAAAAGCAGTGTCTATGAATATATAATACTCGAAATAGCTCTTGTACTACACACATCAAAAATCATAATATAATCAACATTATAATATACATAAAAATGGAAAAATATTTTTTAAAATAGTATGTACATGTTCATACTTCATAAATTTTACGTAACTACTACACTTTCAAGCACTTGTATATACTTAGTAAAGTCTAAATAAAAGGAGGTAACCACTTCAAGTCTCCCAAATTCATTTATCAGCAAAAAGGAATAACTCTACAAGCAAGTTTAGAGCCGTGAGCCAGACACTAGAGCAAGAGGAAGGCAGCAGCAGTCCTAGTTCAGATCAACATTAACTGCCAAGAAATCTCACCTTGATTCTAAGGTCATAAGAGCACAGGACAAAAAAACTTAATCCTTGCATTTCTCCATCGAGCTAGAGTACAGGTATGAATAGACATCACTTTCTTCATTGCCATCTGTGATTTAAAACTCCAGTTTTACAAAATCTGGTAAATTGAGCCAGGCCATGTCATTGTGCCCCTTTCAAATTCCTAACAGATACTTACAAATAATTTAAAATCCAAGAAGAGAATGACATCAAGCCCATTTATGGAAACCTCACATATTCCCTGGCATGTGGTTAAAAGGATCTTTTGATTTCTTCCTCCGCCATACAGTAACTCTGGATCTTAAGATCTCTGCATCATTCTCTTCAACTTTTCACAGTGCTGGCAGCATCTGTTCCTTTGCTTTCTAAGTTTCATTATCAAAATACACAAGAACCAACTAGAGGTTTCCCACCCCCACTCCCACCCAAAATCCTTCCTTGTCAAAACATAAACACTAATATTAAAAAAAAAACCAACCACCCAACACAGATGCACATTCAAACATTCAGCATCTGCTCAACTCACTGCTAAAATATTCCTCTGCTGCTAGCCAGTGAAAATCTCCAACCAGACAACCCAGGTAGACTGGGACCTTTGAAGTTCCTGCTGGCACTGTAATTTCAGAAATAAGGACTTGGTGAGAAGTCCTGACTGTAGTTTTTATAAAGGCAAGAATTTGCAGTTGTGAACCTCCCCTGGTCACCAGACCATGCTGATGAAGGAAGGAATCAACTTCAGTGTCATCAACACTGACATAATCACAGTTAAGTGTCCTTTATTTTCTGTGGAGCAAAGCATCCACATTCATGGCAAAAAATCTCTTCACGTGTTGCTTGTGAAACACAATGCTTCTCCTTCCCTTGTTTCACTCCCGCACACTAGTGATGAACTCTGAAAAAACCAGCCTTTTAAAGAAACAGTGTCTTCTCTAAACAAACACAAGAACTATGCTGACCTCTGGATGGCTGTTTCAAGTGAAGGTGTCCTGGTTTGAGCTAAACAGAACAAATTTTCTGTTTAGTGATTTTACTTTTCTGCTAAGTCTCTTCTAAGTGACTGTACTTGCCGAAGCCAATGGCATGTTTTTCCAGACAGTGTTCATATCTACAAGTGATAGCGTCACTGTCACACCATGGGTGCCGTATTCACACCTGCGGGGTGGACCAGAGAGATGACCCAAAACTGACCAACTAGGTATTCCATCATACTCAGTATAAAGCTGAGGGATCACAAGGGTCTCAATCCTTCCCTCCTACTCTGCTCTTGCAATGGCCAAAGTCTGAGCAGAACCCTGCTAGTTCCTCTGCCTCTGATCCCGATTTGTGTGTTCCTGAATCCAGTTCCTGCTTCCTGCTCTCACCTGCTGCTGGGTCCGGGCTGGGACTGTTCCAGTGTCCTGCTCTGCAGAGCCTCTGGTGACGTAATCGTCAGTAGAGGGGTAGGATTTTACAGTTGTTTTATATATATATTTGTACATATCTGTATATATTCCATTATTTCCCTATTTACATTATTAACCTGTAGTATTAGTATTATTGTTTCATTAACTCTGTTAGTTTTTCTTTTTTAAGTCTCTCTCCTTTATTCTCTTTTCTCTTTCCTTTTAGGGAGGGGAAAGGGGTCAATAGAGAGCCTCTGTCCAGCATTTAGTGGACAGCCCAGCTCTAAATCTCGACAGAAGGTAAGGTTTTGAAAAAGGCTGGAAGGTAACTGGAAACTTGGGAGCTGTTTATATGAAATGAGAAGGTATGGGATGAAACACAGGAATTGTAAGGAACTGATTCCTGGCTCTAACAAAAGGCGAGTATCCCACAGGGTAGTTCATGGCAAAATCTACCTCGGAGTAGATACCATAAGGTACTGCAAGAAGGACACAACAAAACCAGATTGAAAACAAACAAAAAAAAGAGAATAGTGGTTTAAGGCTGTTCATAGTTCGCTTCAGAGCATACCCAGCTGTCAGTAACAACTCATATCCTGATAAGCTCATCAGGAAATACTTAAGCCCATTTTGTTCTCTAACACTCTAATTCATCAAGCCACCACTTCAATTAGCTCATGAATAACTGGAGTTCAATAAGTACAGTAGGAAAGA